CTTTGCTTGCTCGTGGTGAGCACGGTGGTGGTGGTGGCGAGCGTAAATAACGGAGGCGCTACTTGGCAGGGCTTTACAGTGACAAGTTTAATCAGCCATCAGCACTCGGTGCAACACTCAGAACGTCGACAAAGTCAGTCCACGGGGGGGAGGGGGGGCGCCACCGCTTCCTTCCCTCTGCCAGACTCCGACAGAGGGAAGCGTGGCCCCACCACAGCGAGCGACGGGGGTGGTGCCGAGTGGTGCGAGTGAGGTGGCGAGTGAGGTGCGAGTGAGTGGGTGGGTGAATGAGTGGGTGGAGGAATGGGCGAGTGGGTGGGTGAGCAGGTGCGCGAGTGAGTAGGTGAGTGGGTGGGTGGGCAGGTGGGCGAGTGGGTGGGTGAACAGGTGAGTGGGTGGGTGGGCAGGTGGGTGGGTGGGTGAGCAGGTGGGCGAACGGGTGGGTGAGCAGGTGAGTGGGTGGGTGAGCAGGTGCGCGAGTGAGTGAGTAGGTGAGTGAGTGGGTGGGTGAATGAGTGGGTGGATGAATGGGCGAGTGGGTAGGTGAGCAGGTGCGCGAGTGAGTAGGTGAGTGGGTGGGTGGGCAGGTGGGTGGGTGAGCAGGTGGGCGAGTGGGTGGGTGAACAGGTGAGTGAGTAGGTGAGTGGGTGGGTGAGCAGGTGCGCGAGTGAGTGAGTAGGTGAGTGGGTGGGTGAACAGGTGGGCGAGTGAGGGGGTGAGCGAGGGCGAGTGGAAGCTGCGAGTGGCGATGGGGAGAGATGGTGAGCGAATTGGTGAGCGGGAGGGCGAGTGAGAAGGCGAGTGAGAGTGTGAGCGAGCGGGTGAGCGAGCGTGTACCCCTCACCGTATATATACACAAACACACACACACAAATCTACACAGAAGTGTGTGTGTACGTGCGTGTCTGTGTGTACCCCTCCCCCGTGTGCCTGTCCCATGTCTATGTACATGCCTAGATACACCGTCTGCACGCGCGTACACACACACAGAGTCACACACAGACAAAGCTGCCCCGTAAAGCTCCACACACGGTGCTGTAAGGGGGAAGGAGGCAAGTGCTTTGAGCAGCAGCAGCCTACGAAGACCACCACCACCACCAATGTCACAACACAGTGGTGGTGGTGATGCCGTTCACCGCCACTACTGTCAGAGTGGTGGTGATGCCGTTCACCACCACCACCACCAGCGTCACAACACAGAGTGGTGGTGATGCCGTTCACCACCACCACCAGCGTCACAACACAGAGTGATGGTGCCGTTCACCACCACTACTGTCACAGAGTGGTGGTGATGCCGTTCACCACCACCACCACCAGCGTCACAACACAGGAGTGGTGGTGGTGCCGTTCACCACCACCACCACCACCGTGTTGTGACAGTGGTACGCACACACACACACGCACGCACACACACACGTCTACTGTCTCTCTCCTACGTTCAAACTCCACGTTACTCTGGCTGGGGACAGAGGCCCAGGACAGCTGGGCACCGCCGCTAACAAATGAACTCTGGGTACCGTCGACAAATCGGCAATCGCCATCGGAGTCAACGCCACCGCCACCGCGGTGAACAGCAACAAAAATGGCACCAAACTCCACCACAAACTCCACCACCACCACCTCCATCATCATCATCTCAACCACCACAAACTCCACCACCACCACCTCCATCATTATCTCAACCACCACAAACTCCACCATGCAACACCACCACCACCACCACCTCCATCATCATCATCTCAACCACCACAAACTCCACCACCACCACCTCCATCATTATCTCAACCACCACAAACTCCACCATGCAACACCACCACCTCCATCATCATCATCTCAACCACCACAAACTCCACCACCACCACCTCCATCATTATCTCAACCACCACCAACTCCACCACCACCACCTCCATCATTATCTCAACCACCACAAACTCCACCACCACCACCACCTCCATCATCTCAACCACCACAAACTCCACCACCACCTCCATCATTATCTCAACCACCACAAACTCCATCATTATCTCAACCACCACAAACTCCACCATGCAACACCACCACCACCACCTCCATCATCATCTCAACCACCACAAACTCCACCACCACCTCCATCATCTCAACCACCACAAACTCCACCACCACCACCTCCATCATTATCTCAACCACCACAAACTCCACCATGCAACACCACCACCACCACCTCCATCATCATCTCAACCACCACCAACTCCACCACCACCACCTCCACCATCATCTCAACCACCACAAACACCACCATCATCTCAACCACCACAAACTCCACCACCACCACCTCCATCATCATCTCAACCACCACAAACTCCACCACCACCACCACAAACTCCATCATTATCTCAACCACCACAAACTCCACCACCTCCATCATCTCAACCACCACAAACTCCACCACCACCTCCATCATTATCTCAACCACCACAAACTCCACCATCACCACCTCCATCATCATCTCAACCACCACCAACTCCACCACCACCACCACAAACTCCATCATTATCTCAACCACCACCAACTCCACCACCACCACCACAAACTCCATCATTATCTCAACCACCACCAACTCCACCACCACAAACTCCATCACCACTAATCACTAATTCCATCACCACCACCACCACCACCACCTCGGCTCAAAACTTCTGAACAAATCTCAGCTACCCCCAATATAACGACCCTGCTGCTGCTGATGCTGGTAGTGATGGTGGCGGTGTTGGTACTGGTAGCTGCTGATGGTAGTGGTGGTGTTGGTACTGGTAGCTGCTGATGGTAGTGGTGTTGGTAGTGGTAGCTGCTGATGGTAGTGGTGTTGTTGGTACTGGTAGCTGCTGATGGTAGTGGTGATGGTAGTGGTGTTGTTGGTACTGGTAGCTGCTGATGGTGACGGTGGTGATGGTAGTGGTGTTGGTGGTAGTGGTAGCTGCTGATGGTGATGGTAGTGGTGTTGGTGGTCCTGGTAGCTGCTGATGGTAGTGGTGTTGTTGGTAGTGGTAGCTGCTGATGGTAGTGGTGATGGTAGTGGTGTTGTTGGTACTGGTAGCTGCTGATGGTGATGTTGTTGGTACTGGTAGCTGCTGATGGTGATGGTGGTGATGGTAGTGGTGTTGGTACTGGTAGCTGCTGATGGTAGTGGTGTTGTTGGTATTGGTAGCTGCTGATGGTGATGGTGGTGGTGTTGTTGGTACTGGTAGCTGCTGATGGTGATGGTGGTGTTGTTGGTACTGGTAGCTGCTGATGGTGATGGTGGTGGTGTTGTTGGTACTGGTAGCTGCTGATGGTGATGGTGGTGGTGTTGTTGGTACTGGTAGCTGCTGATGGTGATGGTGGTGGTGTTGTTGGTACTGGTAGCTGCTGATGGTGATGGTGGTGGTGTTGTTGGTACTGGTAGCTGCTGATGGTGATGGTGGTGGTGTTGTTGGTACTGGTTGCTGCTGATGGTGATGGTGTTGTTGGTACTGGTAGCTGCTGATGGTGACGGTGTTGTTGGTACTGGTAGCTGCTGATGGTAGTGGCGATGGTAGTGGTGTTGTTGGTACTGGTAGCTGCTGATGGTGATGGTGACGGTGTTGTTGGTACTGGTAGCTGCTGATGGTGATGGTGTTGTTGGTACTGGTAGCTGCTGATGGCGATGGTGGTGGTGTTGTTGGTACTGGTAGCTGCTGATGGCGATGGTGGTGGTGTTGTTGGTACTGGTAGCTGCTGATGGTGACGGTGGTGGTGTTGTTGGTACTGGTAGCTGCTGATGGTGATGGTGTTGCTGGTACTGGTAGCTGCTGATGGTAGTGGTGTTGTTGGTACTGGTAGCTGCTGATGGTGACGGTGTTGTTGGTACTGGTAGCTGCTGATGGTGATGGTGGTGGTGTTGTTGGTACTGGTAGCTGCTGATGGTGATGGTGGTGGTGTTGTTGGTACTGGTAGCTGCTGATGGTGATGGTGACGGTGTTGTTGGTACTGGTAGCTGCTGATGGTGACGGTGGTGATGGTGTTGTTGGTACTGGTAGCTGCTGATGGTGACGGTGTTGTTGGTACTGGTAGCTGCTGATGGTGACGGTGGTGATGGTAGTGGTGTTGGTGGTAGTGGTAGCTGCTGATGGTGATGGTGGTGGTGTTGTTGGTACTGGTAGCTGCTGATGGTGATGGTGGTGGTGTTGTTGGTACTGGTAGCTGCTGATGGTGACGGTGTTGTTGGTACTGGTAGTTGCTGATGGTGATGGTGGTGGTGTTGTTGGTACTGGTAGCTGCTGATGGTGATGGTGTTGTTGGTACTGGTAGCTGCTGATGGTGACGGTGGTGATGGTAGTGGTGTTGGTGGTAGTGGTAGCTGCTGATGGTGATGTTAGTGGTGTTGTTGGTACTGGTAGCTGCTGATGGTGACGGTGGTGATGGTAGTGGTGTTGGTGGTAGTGGTAGCTGCTGATGGTGATGTTAGTGGTGTTGTTGGTGTTGTTGGTACTGGTAGCTGCTGATGGTGACGGTGGTGATGGTGTTGTTGGTACTGGTAGCTGCTGATGGCGACGGTGGTGGTGTTGTTGGTACTGGTAGCTGCTGATGGTGATGGTGGTGGTGTTGTTGGTACTGGTAGCTGCTGATGGTGATGGTGGTGGTGTTGTTGGTACTGGTAGCTGCTGATGGTGACGGTGGTGATGGCGATGGCAGTGACAGCAGCAGCCACCATCCTCCTCTTTCGCCCCCCCCCCCCACTCAACTCCTGCCCTTCCCCCAACCCTTCCCCCCCAAAAAAAACAAACAAACAAACAACCCCTCTACAAACAGAGAAGGGAAAGTAAACAACAACAACAACAACAACCACCATGGTGGTTGGCTGGCGGCGCCAAGATTCCCCGGACACGACCACAAAATCACCGACCCCTCCACCCCCCTCCATAACGATGGTGGTGCTGGTGATGGTGGCGATGGTGGCGATGGTGGCGATGGTGGCGATGGTGGCGATGGTGGCGATGGTGGCGATGGTGGCGATGGTGCTGGTGAAGGTGGTGGCGGCGATGGCAATGATGGTGAGGGTAGCGGTGGTGCAGGCGATGTCTGGAGCCAACGATGGTGGCGATGATGATGATGATAGCGGTGGTGAATGGTTGACGGTGGGTCACAGCGGCGAAGGTGGTCCACCAACTCACGTAGCTCCAACTCGTCCACAGGAAGTGACCACCACCCACCACCACCACCACCTCACCCGCCACGTCCACCCACTCCTGGGGGTGGACAATCGTAGCTCCGTAGCTCCAACTCCTCCACCCCGGACAACCCACCACCACCACCACCACCTCACCCGCCACGTCCACCCAACCCTCACCACGTCCACCCTCTCCTGGGGGTGGACAATCGTAGCTCCGTAGCTCCAACTCCTCCACCCCGGACAACCCACCACCACCAGCTCACCCGCCACGTCCACCCACTCCTGGGGGTGGACAATCGTAGCTCCAACTCCTCCACCCCGGACAACCCACCACCACCACCTCACCCGCCACGTCCACCCAACCCTCACCACGTCCACCCTCTCCTGGGGGTGGACAATCGTAGCTCCAACTCCTCCACCCCGGACAAACCACCACCACCACCTTGCCCGCCACGTCCACCCAACCCTCACCACGTCCACCCTCTCCTGGGGGTGGACAATCGTAGATCCGTAGCTCCAACTCCTCCACCCTGGACAACCCACCACCACCTCGCCCTCCACGTCCACCCAACCCTCACCACGTCCACCCTCTCCTGGGGGTGGGCAATCGTAGCTCCGTAGCTCCAACTCCTCCACCCCGGACAACCCACCACCACCTCGCCCGCCACGTCCACCCAACCCTCACCACGTCCACCCTCTCCTGGGGGTGGGCAATCGTAACTCCGTAGCTCCAACGCCTCCACCCCGGACAACCCACCAACACCATCTCAGCCGCCACGTCCACCCACTCCTGGGGGTGGACAATCGTAGCTCCAACTCCTCCACCCCGGACAACCCACCACCACCTCACCCAACCCTCACCACGTCCACCCTCTCCTGGGGGTAGACAATCGTAGCTCCAACTCCTCCACCCCGGACAACCCACAACCCACCACCACCTCACCCGCCACGTCCACCCAACCCTCACCACGTCCACCCTCTCCTGGGGGTAGACAATCGTAGCTCCAACTCCTCCACCCCGGACAACCCACCACCACCACCACCACCACCACCTCGCCCGCCACGTCCACCCAACCCTCACCACGTCCACCCTCTCCTGGGGGTGGGCAATCGTAGATCCGTAGCTCCAACTCCTCCACCCCGGACAACCCACCACCACCATCTCAGCCGCCACGTCCACCCACTCCTGGGGGTGGACAATCGTAGCTCCAACTCCTCCACCCCGGACAACCCACAACCCACCACCACCTCGCCCGCCACGTCCACCCAACCCTCACCACGTCCACCCTCTCCTGGGGGTGGACAATCGTAGCTCCAACTCCTCCACCCCGGACAACCCACCACCACCACCACCACCACCACCTCGCCCGCCACGTCCACCCAACCCTCACCACGTCCACCCTCTCCTGGGGGTGGACAATCGTAGCTCCGTAGCTCCAACTCCTCCACCCCGGACAACCCACCACCACCACCTCGCCCGCCACGTCCACCCAATCCTCACCACGTCCACCCTCTCCTGGGGGTGGACAATCGTAGCTCCGTAGCTCCAACTCCTCCACCCCGGACAACCCACCACCACCACCTCACCCGCCACGTCCACCCAACCCTCACCACGTCCACCCTCTCCTGGGGGTGGACAATCGTAGCTCCGTAGCTCCAACTCCTCCACCCCGGACAACCCACCACCACCACCTCACCCGCCACGTCCACCCAATCCTCACCACGTCCACCCTCTCCTGGGGGTGGACAATCGTAGCTCCGTAGCTCCAACTCCTCCACCCCGGACAACCCACAACCCACCACCACCTCACCCGCCACGTCCACCCAACCCTCACCACGTCCACCCTCTCCTGGGGGTGGACAATCGTAGCTCCATAGCTCCAACTCCTCCACCCCGGACAACCCACCACCACCATCTCAGCCGCCACGTCCACCCACTCCTGGGGGTGGACAATCGTAGCTCCAACTCCTCCACCCCGGACAACCCACCACCACCTCACCCGCCACGTCCACCCAACCCTCACCACGTCCACCCTCTCCTGGGGGTGGACAATCGTAGCTCCGTAGCTCCAACTCCTCCACCCCGGACAACCCACCACCACCACCTCACCCGCCACGTCCACCCAATCCTCACCACGTCCACCCTCTCCTGGGGGTGGACAATCGTAGCTCCAACTCCTCCACCCCGGACAACCCACCACCACCATCTCACCCGCCACGTCCACCCACTCCTGGGGGTAGACAATCGTAGCTCCAACTCCTCCACCCCGGACAACCCACAACCCACCACCACCTCACCCGCCACGTCCACCCAACCCTCACCACGTCCACCCTCTCCTGGGGGTGGACAATCGTAGCTCCAACTCCTCCACCCCGGACAACCCACAACCCACCACCACCACCACCACCCGCCACCACCACCTCGCCCGCCACGTCCACCCAACCCTCACCACGTCCACCCGCCACTCCCCCGGGGGGTGGACAATCAAGGCCGCAGCTCCAACTCGTCCACAGATATCACCACGCTGGGCATCGAGGGGAGGTGCTGCTGCTGCAGGACGTCCGAGCCAAACCACCGGCTCAGCTGTCCACCTCCACCGCCCGCAGCAGCAGCAGCAGCACGCTGATGATGATGATGCTGCTGCTGCTGATGGTGATGATGATGGTGGTGGTGATGGTGGTGGAGCCGGGAGGCTATGGCGGCTGCCGCGTCGGTGGGGGTGGCCTCTGTGGGAAGAGCGGCTGAGAGGGGGGGGGAAGACGGGGGGGGGGGGGAGAGATGGAGAGAGAGATAGACAGAGAGAGAGATAGACAGACAGAGAGAGACGGAGAGACAGACAGAGAGAGAGACAGACAGAGAGACAGAGAGAGAGACAGAGAGACAGACAGACAGAGAGACAGAGAGAGAGACAGAGAGACAGACAGAGAGACAGAGACAGACAGACAGAGAGAGACAGACAGACAGAGAGACAGACAGACAGAGAGCATGATAGAGAGAGCATGACAGAGACAGACAGAGAGAGACAGACAGAGAGACACAGACAGACAGAGAGATACAGACAGAGAGATACAGACAGAGAGAGAGATACAGACAGACAGACAGAGAGACAGAGAGAGATAGACAGAGAGAGATAGACAGAGAGAGAGATAGAGAGACAGACAGAGATACAGAGAGAGACAGAGAGACACAGAGAGAGACAGAGACAGACACAGAGACAGACAGAGAGACAGACAGAGAGACACAGACAGAGAGACACAGACAGAGAGACACAGACAGAGAGACACAGACAGAGAGACACAGACAGAGAGACACAGACAGAGAGACACAGAGAGACACAGACAGAGAGAGACAGAGAGAGACAGAGACAGACACACAGACAGACAGAGAGACAGACAGACACACAGACAGACAGTGTAAGTGCGCGTGCGTGTCCGCGCTAGCTCGTGTGTGTGGGTGACAGCGCGAGTGTCCGTGTGTACATGCGTGTCCGTGAGTGACCATGTGTACATGCGTGTCCGTGTGTACGTGTGTGTCCGTGTGTGTACATGTGTGTCCGTGTGTGTCCGTGTGTGTCCGTGTGTGTCCGTGTGTACATGCGTGTCCGTGTGTGACCGTGTGTACATGTGTGACCGTGTGTACGTGTGTGTCCGTGTGTGAATGTGTGTACATGTGTGTCCGCGTGTGTCCGCGTGTGTCCGCGTGTGTCCGCGTGTGTCCGTGTGTGTCCGTGTGTGTCCGTGTGTCCGTGTGTACATGCGTGTCCGTGTGTGACCGTGTGTACATGCGTGTCCGTGTGTGACCGTGTGTACATGCGTGTCCGTGTGTACATGCGTGTCCGTGTGTGACCGTGTGTACATGTGTGTCCGTGTGTGACCGTGTGTACATGCGTGTCCGTGTGTACATGCGTGTCCGTGTGTGACCGTGTGTACATGTGTGTCCGTGTGTGTCCGTGTGTACATGCGTGTCCGTGTGTACATGCGTGTCCGTGTGTGTCCGTGTGTACATGCGTGTCCGTGTGTGTCCGTGTGTACATGCGTGTCCGTGTGTGACCGTGTGTACATGTGTGTCCGTGTGTGACCGTGTGTACATGCGTGTCCGTGTGTACATGCGTGTCCGTGTGTGTCCGTGTGTACATGCGTGTCCGTGTGTGTCCGTGTGTACATGCGTGTCCGTGTGTGACCGTGTGTACATGCGTGTCCGTGTGTACATGCGTGTCCGTGTGCGACCGTGTGTACATGTGTGTCCGTGTGTGACCGTGTGTACATGCGTGTCCGTGTGTACATGCGTGTCCGTGTGTGACCGTGTGTACATGTGTGTCCGTGTGTGTCCGTGTGTACATGCGTGTCCGTGTGTGACCGTGTGTACATGCGTGTCCGTGTGTACATGCGTGTCCGTGTGTGACCGTGTGTACATGTGTGTCCGTGTGTGACCGTGTGTACATGCGTGTCCGTGTGTACATGCGTGTCCGTGTGTGACCGTGTGTACATGCGTGTCCGTGTGTGTCCGTGTGTACATGCGTGTCCGTGTGTGACCGTGTGTACATGCATGTCCGTGTGTACATGCGTGTCCGTGTGTGACCGTGTGTACATGCGTGTCCGTGTGTGACCGTGTGTACATGCGTGTCCGTGTGTGTCCGTGTGTACATGCGTGTCCGTGTGTACATGCGTGTCCGTGTGTACATGCGTGTCCGTGTGTACATGCGTGTCCGTGTGTGTCCGTGTGTACATGCGTGTCCGTGTGTACATGCGTGTCCGTATGCTTCCGCCCGTGCGTGCGATCGAGTGGATGAACGTATTCGTTTGTGGGTGAGTGAATGATTGAGTGAGTGGGCGGGTAAGTGATTGAGTGGGTGAGTGAACGATTGAGTGGGTGGGCGAGTGAGTGAGTGGGTGGGCGAGTGAGTGAGTGGGTGGGCGAGTGAGTGGGTGGGCGAGTGAGTGGGTGGGCGAGTGGGTGGGTAGGTGGGTAAGTGAACGATTGAGTGGGTGGGCGAGTGAGTGAGTGGGTGGGTAAGTGAGTGGGTGGGCAAGTGAGTGGGTGGGTGAGTGGGTGGGTAAGTGAGTGGGTAAGTGAGTGGGTGGGTGAGTGAGTGGGTGGGTAAGTGAGTGGGTGGGTAGGTGAGTGAGTGGGTGAGTGGGCAAGTGAGTGGGTGAGTAAGTGAACGATTGAGTGGGTGGGCGAGTGAGTGAGTGGGTGGGTAAGTGAGTGGGTGGGTAAGTGAGTGGGTGGGTAAGTGATTGAGTGGGTGGGTGAGTGAGTGGGTAAGTAAGTGATTGAGTGGGTGGGTGAGTGAGTGAGTGGGTGAGTGAGTGGGTGGGTAAGCGAGTGGGTGGGTGAGTGAGTGGGTGGGTAAGTGAGTGGGTAAGCGAGTGGGTGGGTAAGTGAGTGGGTGGGTGAGTGAGTAAGTGAGTGATTGAGTGGGTAAGTGAGTGGGTGGGTAGGTGAGTGAGTGAGTGGGTGAGTGGGTGAGTGATTGAGTGGGTGGGTGAGTGAGTGAGTGGGTGGGTAAGTGATTGAGTGGGTGGGTGAGTGAGTGGGTAAGTGAGTGATTGAGTGGGTGGGTGAGTGATTGAGTGAGTGAGTGAGTGGGCGAGTGAGTGGGTGGGTGAGTGAGTGGGTGGGTGGGCAAGCGGATGAGTTATTTAGCGACTGGGTGGGCGAGTGATTGGGTGAGCGGGCGAGCGAACGATTGAGTGTTTACTCTGGCGTAGCAGCTGCTGCTGCTGCTGCTGCTGTTGCAGCAGGGCGAGTTGAACCGGAGTCCCTGCAGCTGCTGCAGGAAGCTGCGCCTGTAGTTGCGCTAGAGCAACAGCCTGCACACGCACACACAGACGCACTCACACCTAGCACCCGCACACACCACCTATTGTACACCCACACACAACCAAAGCTCCCCATATATATATAGCCTGTAGTGCTGTAGGGGCAAGTGGCTGTGAGTAAGCGAGCACACACACACACACCTCACACAGACAAAGCTCCCCCAGGTAGCCCACACAGTGCTGTAGGGGCAAGTGGCTGTGAGTAGCGAGCACACACACACACCTCACACAGACAAAGCTCCCCCAGGTAGCCCACAGTGCTGTAGGGGCAAGTGGCTGTGAGTAGCGAGCACACACACACCTCACACAGACAAAGCTCCCCCAGGTAGCCCACACAGTGCTGTAGGGGCAAGTGGCTGTGAGTAGCGAGCAGCAGCAGACAGAGGAGGCCACCTGCACCACCACCACCCAGCACACAGAGGGGCCACCTGCACCACCACCACCACCACCCAGCACACAGGGGCCACCTGCACCACCACCACCCAGCACACAGAGGGGGCCACCTGCACCACCACCACCACACAGGGGCCACCTGCACCACCACCACCACACACAGGGGGTCACCTGCACCAACACCACCACCCAGCACACAGAGGGGGCCACCTGCACCACCACGTCGCTAGGCCCAGCTGGGCGAAAAGATGGCGATGAGTTTGATGTGGTTGTTGTTGTCGTAGTGGTTGTCGTAGTGATTGTTGTAGTGGTTGTTGTAGTGGTTGTTGTAGTGGTTGTTGTGTTAGTAGTGGTTGTAGTGTTTCTTGTTGTTGTAGTGGTTGTTGTAGTGGTTGTTGTAGTGGTTGTTGTAGTGGTTGTTGTGGTGGTTGTTGTAGTGGTTGTTGTTGTTGTTGTAGTGGTTGTTGTGTTAGTAGTGGTTGTAGTGTTTCTTGTTGTTGTCGTAGTGGTTGCCGTTGTGGTGGTTGTCGTTATCATGGTTGTAGTGGTTGTCGTGGTTGTAGTAGTGTTAGTAGTGGTTGTTGTGTTAGTAGTGGTTGTAGTGTTTCTTGTTGTTGTAGTGGTTGTTGTAGTGGTTGTTGTAGTGGTTGTTGTAGTGGTTGTTGTGGTGGTTGTTGTAGTGGTTGTTGTTGTTGTAGTGGTTGTTGTGTTAGTAGTGGTTGTAGTGTTTCTTGTTGTTGTCGTAGTGGTTGCCGTTGTGGTGGTTGTCGTTATCATGGTTGTAGTGGTTGTCGTGGTTGTAGTAGTGTTAGTAGTGGTTGTTGTGTTAGTAGTGGTTGTAGTAGTGTTAGTAGTGGTTGTTGTGTTAGTAGTGGTTGTAGTAGTGTTAGTAGTGGTTGTAGTTGTTGTAGTAGTTGTAGTAGTGTTAGTAGTAGTGTTAGTAGTAGTGTTAGTAGTTGTTGTAGTAGTGTTAGTAGTGGTTGTAGTGGTTGTAGTTGTTGTAGTGGTGTTAGTAGTGGTTGTAGTGGTTGTTGTTGTCGTAGTGGTTGTAGTAGTGTTAGTAGTGGTTGTAGTGGTTGTTGTTGTCATAGTTGTAGTAGTGTTAGTAGTGGTTGTTGTTGTAGTAGTTGTAGTAGTGGTTGTAGTGGTTGTTGTTGTTGTAGTAGTTGTAGTAGTGTTAGTAGTGGTTGTAGTGGTTGTAGTAGTGTTAGTAGTAGTGGTTGTTGTTGTCGTGGTAGTGGTTATAGTGGTTGTAGTAGTGTTAGTAGTTGTTGTAGTAGTGTTAGTAGTTGTTGTAGTAGTGTTAGTAGTGGTTGTAGTTGTAGTAGTGTTAGTAGTGGTCGTAGTGGTCGTAGTGGTTGTAGTAGTGTTAGTAGTGGTTGTAGTGGTTGTTGTAGTGGTTGTAGTAGTGTTAGTAGTGGTTGTAGTTGTCGTGGTTGTAGTAGTGTTAGTAGTGGTTGTAGTTGTCGTGGTTGTGTTAGTAGTGGTTGTAGTGGTTGTAGTTGTTGTAGTAGTGTTAGTAGTGGTTGTAGTGGTTGTTGTTGTCGTAGTGTTAGTAGTGGTTGTAGTGGTTGTTGTTGTCGTAGTGGTTGTAGTAGTGTTAGTAGTGCTTGTTGTTGTAGTAGTGTTAGTAGTGATTGTAGTAGTGGTTGTAGTGGTTGTTGTTGTAGTAGTTGTAGTAGTGTTTGTAGTGGTTGTTGTTGTTGTCGTAGTGGTTGTAGTAGTGTTAGTAGTGGTTGTAGTAGTGTTAGTAGTGGTTGTTGTTGTAGTAGTGTTAGTAGTGGTTGTTGTTGTTGTAGTGGTTGTAGTTGTGTTAGTAGTGGTTGTAGTGGTTGTTGTTGTCATAGTTGTAGTAGTGTTAGTAGTGGTTGTTGTTGTAGTAGTGTTAGTAGTGGTTGTAGTAGTGTTAGTAGTGGTTGTAGTGGTTGTTGTTGTAGTAGCTGTAGTAGTGTTAGTAGTGGTTGTTGTTGTTGTTGTCGTAGTGTTAGTAGTGGTTGTAGTTGTTGTAGTTGTTGTAGTTGTGGTTGTAGTGGTTGTTGTTGTAGTAGTGTTAGTAGTGGTTGTAGTAGTGTTAGTTGTCGTGGATGTTGTGGTTGTAGTAGTGTTAGTAGTGGTTCTTGTTGTTGTCGTAGTGGTTATCGTGGTTGTAGTTGTTGTAGTAGTGTTAGTAGTGGTTGTCGTGGTTGTAGTTGTTGTAGTTGTTGTAGTAGTGTTAGTAGTGGTTGTAGTGGTTGTAGTTGTCGTGGTTGTAGTAGTGTTAGTAGTGGTTGTAGTTGTCGTGGTTGTGTTAGTAGTGGTTGTAGTAGTGTTAGTAGTGGTTGTAGTGGTTGTAGTGGTTGTTGTTGTCGTAGTGTTAGTAGTGGTTGTAGTGGTTGTTGTTGTCGTAGTGGTTGTAGTAGTGTTAGTGGTTGTAGTGATTGTAGTAGTGGTTGTAGTGGTTGTTGTGTTAGTAGTGGTTGTAGTGGTTGTTGTTGTAGTAGCTGTAGTAGTGTTAGTAGTGGTTGTAGAGGTTGTTGTTGTTGTCGTAGTGGTTGTAGTAGTGTTAGTAGTGGTTGTTGTTGTTGTTGTCGTAGTGTTAGTAGTGGTTGTAGTGGTTGTTGTTGTAGCAGTTGTAGTAGTGGTTGTAGTGGTTGTTGTTGTCGTAGTGGTTGTAGTAGTGTTAGTAGTGGTTGTAGTAGTGTTAGTAGTGGTTGTTGTTGTAGTAGTGTTAGAAGTGGTTGTTGTTGTTGTAGTGGTTGTAGTTGTGTTAGTAGTGGTTGTAGTGGTTGTTGTTGTCATAGTTGTAGTAGTGTTAGTAGTGGTTGTTGTTGTAGTAGTGTTAGTAGTGGTTGTAGTAGTGTTAGTAGTGGTTGTAGTGGTTGTTGTTATAGTAGCTGTAGTAGTGTTAGTAGTGGTTGTTGTTGTTGTCGTAGTGTTAGTAGTGGTTGTAGTTGTTGTAGTTGTTGTAGTTGTGGTTGTAGTGGTTGTTGTTGTAGTAGTGTTAGTAGTGGTTGTAGTAGTGTTAGTTGTCGTGGATGTTGTGGTTGTAGTAGTGTTAGTAGTGGTTCTTGTTGTTGTCGTAGTGGTTATCGTGGTTGTAGTTGTTGTAGTAGTGTTAGTAGTGGTTGTCGTGGTTGTAGTTGTTGTAGTTGTTGTAGTAGTGTTAGTAGTGGTTGTAGTGGTTGTTGTTGTAGTTGTTGTAGTAGTGTTAGTAGTGGTTGTTGTTGTCGTAGTGGTTGTTGTTGTAGTTGTTGTAGTAGTGTTAGTAGTGGTTGTTGTTGTCGTAGTGTTAGTAGTGGTTGTTGTCGTAGTGGTTGTTGTTGTAGTTGTTGTAGTAGTGTTAGTAGTGGTTGTAGTAGTGTTAGTAGTGGTTGTAGTTGTCGTGGTTGTAGTTGTTGTAGTAGTGTTAGTAGTGGTGGTTGTTGTTGTAGTGTTAGTAGTGGTTGTAGTTGTTGTAGTAGTGTTAGTAGTGGTTGTAATTGTCATGGTTGTAGTTGTTGTAGTAGTGTTAGTAGTGGTTGTAGTTGTTGTAGTAGTGTTAGTAGTGGTGGTAGTAGTGTTAGTAGTGGTTGTAGTTGTCGTGGTTGTAGTTGTTGTAGTAGTGTTAGTAGTGGTGGTTGTTGTTGTAGTGTTAGTAGTGGTTGTAGTAGTGTTAGTAGTGTTAGTAGTGGTTGTAGTTGTTGTAGTAGTGGTTGTAGTGGTTGTAGTTGTCGTGGTTGTAGTTGTTGTAGTAGTGTTAGTAGTGGTTGTAGTTGTTGTAGTAGTGTTAGTAGTGGTTGTAGTTGTTGTAGTAGTGGTTGTAGTTGTTGTAGTTGTTGTAGTAGTGTTAGTAGTGGTGGTTGTTGTCGTGGTTGTAGTTGTTGTAGTAGTGTTAGTAGTGGTTGTAGTTGTTGTAGTAGTGTTAGTAGTGGTGGTAGTTGTTGTAGTAGTGTTAGTAGTTGTTGTAGTAGTGTTAGTAGTGGTTGTAGTTGTCATGGTTGTAGTAGTTGTTGTTGTAGTTGTTGTAGTAGTGTTAGTAGTTGTTGTAGTAGTGTTAGTGGTGGTGGTTGTTGTCATCATGGTTGTTGTTGACCTGGGAGCTGAGGAAGTGAGGAGCGTTCGAGGACTGGAGACCAAAGATGGCCGCATCGACCGGAGCAGGGAAACCTCCTCCTGGAACAACGTCACAACAGCATCACAACAACGTCACAACAACGTCACAACAGCATCACAACAGCATCACAAACAACGTCACAACAGCATCACAACAGCATCACAACAGCATCACAACGTCACAACAGCGTCACAACAGCGTCACAACAACGTCACAACAGCATCACAACAGCATCACAACAGCATCACAACAGCATCACAACAGCATCACAACAGCATCACAACGTCACAACAACGTCACAACAGCATCACAACAACCGCCCCACCCCGCCGCACCCCATCCACCCCGCCCACCCCACTCACCCCACCCCACCCACAACGCCCCACCCACCCCACCCACCCCACCCACAAAGCCCCACCCACCCACCTGCCAAACCCAGCTGCCTCTGTGCCACCACGGCCCCCCTCATAATCAGCTGCTGCTGTTGCAGGTGGAGCAGCGCCCGCTGCTGCTGCTGCTGCTGCTGCTGAAACTGCAGATGCTGCTGCAGCTGCTGCTGCTGCTGCAGCGAGGGCAACTGTTGCTGTAGCTGCTGCTGTAGCTGCTGCTGCTGCTGCTGCTGCTTCGAGTCCCGAACCGGCGGCGCGCCCGGAGGCTCGGCGGCGGCCGCGGGGGCCGCGGGGGCCGCCGAGGCGACGGAGGTGGCGAGGGCCGGCAACGAGCCGCCGGAGGAGCTCCGAACGTCGCTGCCGTCCCCTCCTCTTGCTCCGCCCCCTCTTGCTCCGCCCCCGTCGATGACGTCACCGGCGTCGGGGGCTGCTTCGTCGTCGTCGTCGTCGCCGTCGCCGCGGCGACGGTGGCGGTGCGGCGGAGGGGGGGGGCGGTGGCGCGAGGCCGCGGCGGCGGGCGGCGAGGGGCCGAGCGCCGCTATTGGCCGAGCCGTGGCCGTGGCGGAGGGGGGGCTGCGCACGGCTGGGGGAGGGGGGGGGGAGATTGGTGGAGTGGGTGGGGGTGGTGGTGGTGGTGGTGGGAGAGGGAGGGCAATGATATAGCACAGCCACACAGCACTCACTCACCCACTGTCATCACCACCAACTCACTCACCGTCATCACCACCACTCACTCACTGTCATCACCACCAACTCACTCACCGTCATCACCACCACTCACTCACCGTCAACACCACCACTCACTCACCGTCATCACCACCAACTCACTCACCGTCATCACCACCAACTCACTCACCGTCATCACCACCAACTCACTCACCGTCATCACCACCAACTCACTCACCGTCATCACCACCAACTCACTCACCGTCATCACCACCACTCACTCACCGTCATCACCACCACTCACTCACTGTCATCACCACCAACTCACTCACCGTCATCACCACCAACTCACCCACCGTCACCACCACCAACTCACTCACCGTCATCACCACCACTCACTCACCGTCATCACCACCAACTCACTCACCGTCATCACCACCACTCACTCACTCACTGTCACCACCACCAACTCACTCACCCACCCACCGTCACCACCACCAACTCACTCACTCACCCAACCACCGTCATCACCACCAACTCACTCACCGTCATCACCACCAACTCACTCACCGTCATCACCACCACTCACTCACCGTCATCACCACCACTCACTCACTCATTCACCCACCGTCACCACCACCAACTCACTCACCCAACCACCGTCATAACACACCACTCACCACCCATCCACCGTCACCACCACCACTCACCCAACCACCGTCATCACACACCACCCACTCACTCACTCACCGTCACCACCACCAACTCACTCACCACCCACACACCCACCGTCGCCACACACGACTCACTTACCACCCACCCAACCACCGTCATCACCACCAACTCACCCACCCACCCCACACACCAACTCACTCACCCACCCAACCACCGTCGCCACACACCAACTCACCCACCCACCCACATCACACACCACTTACTCACTCACCACCCACCCACCCAACCACCGTCATCACACACCACTCACCCACCCACCCAACCACCGTCATCACCACCAACTCACTCGCCCACCCACCCAACCACCGTCACACCACTCACTTACCACCCACCCAACCACCGTCATCATCACCAACTTACTCACTCGCCCACCCACCCACCGTCATCACCACCAACTCACTCACCCACCCAACCACCGTCACCACCACCACTCACTCACCCACCCACCCAACCACCGTCATCACACACCACTCACTTACCCAACCACCGTCACCACCACCACCACTCACTCACCCACCCTCATCACCACCAACTCACTTACTCACCCACCCAACCACCGTCACCACCACCACTCACTCACCCACCCACCCATCCAACCACCGTCACCACCACCACTCACTCACCCACCCAACCACCGTCACCACCACCACCACTCACTCACCCACCCACCCACCCACCGTCACCACCACCACCACTCACTCACCCACCCACCCAACCACCGTCACCACCACCACTCACTCACCCACCCACCCATCCAACCACCGTCACCACCACCACTCACTCACCAACCCAACCACCGTCACCACCACCACCACCACTCACTCACCCACCCACCCACCCACCGTCACCACCACCACTCACCCACCCACCCACCCACCGTCACCACCACCACTCACTCACCCACCCAACCACCGTCACCACCACCACCACCACTCACTCACCCACCCACCGTCACCACCACCACCTCACCCCACCTACCCCCACCCCCACCACTCATCGACACCACCACCACCATACACCCACCCACCCACCCACCTACCCCCAATCCACCACCACGCACCCACCCACCCGCACCACCCACCCACACCTGTGCCGTGCTGTCCGTAGGGGGCTCCGGGCGTGATCAGAGGCGAGGGCCCCCCACCACCGGAGCTGCCCCCCCCGCTGGGATCAGGGCCCCCCGGCCCGCCGGGACTGCACTCCGTGGCTGGCTGGTGAGGAGCGGGAGGGACGGTGGCGGAGGGATCTTGGAGGAGGATGGAGGAGTGAGGAACGGGTGACTTGTGGTGGTGTTGGTGGTGAGCGTGCTGGTGAGCGTGCTGGTGAGCGTGCTGGTGAGCGTGCTGGTGAGCGTGGTGGTGAGCGTGCATCTTGCGGATCACCGAGGTTGGCGTGAAGGCCGGGGAGACCTGCGGGGGGAGGGGGGGGGGAGAAGACACGGAGGGAGTGAGTGAGTGGTGAGTGAGTGGTGAGCGAGTGAGTGAGTGGGTGAGTGAGTGAGTGAGTGGGTGAGTGAGTGAGTGGTGAGTGAGTGAGTGGGTGAGTGAGTGAGGGGGTGAGTGAGTGAGTGAGTGGTGAGTGAGTGAGTGGTGAGTGAGTGGGTGGTGAATGAGTGAGTGGTGAATGAGTGAGTGGTGAATGAGTGAGTGGTGAATGAGTGAGTGGTGAATGAGTGATGAATGAGTGAGTGGTGAGTGAGTGGTGAGTGAGGAGTGAGTGGTGGGTGAGTGAGTGAGTGAGTGGTGGGTGAGTGAGTGAGTGGTGAGTGAGTGGTGATGAGTGAGTGAGTGAGTGGTGAGTGAGTGGTGATGAGTGAGTGAGTGGTGAGTGAGTGGTGATGAGTGAGTGGTGAGTGAGTGAGTGGTGAATGAGTGAGTGGTGAGTGAGTGAGTGGTGAATGAGTGAGTGGTGAGTGAGTGGTGAATGAGTGAGTGGTGAGTGAGTGGTGAGTGAGTGGTGAGTGAGTGAGTGGTGAGTGGTGAGTGAGTGAGTGAGTGGTGAGTGAGTGGTGAATGAGTGAGTGAGTGGTGAGTGAGTGAGTGAGTGGTGAGTGAGTGGTGAGTGAGTGAGTGAGTGGTGAGTGACCAGTGAGGGAGTGGTGAGTGGGTGGTGAGTGAGTGAGTGGTGGGTGAGTGTTGAGTGGCGAGTGAGTGGTGAGGGAGTGGTGAGTTGTGAGTTGTGAGTGAGTGAGGAGTGAGTGAGTGAGTGGTGAGTGGCGAGTGGCGAGTGAGCGGGGGTGGTGAGTGGGAGAGTGGGTGGTGAGTGAGCAAGTGGTGAGTGGGCGAGTGGCGAGTGAGTGGTAAGTGGCGAGTGAGTGATGAGCGAGTGGTGAGTGAGTGGGTGGTGAGAGTGAGTGGTGAGTGAGTGGTGAGTGGGAGTGGTGAGTGAGCAAGTGGCGATTGAGTGGCGAGTGAGCGAGTGGTGGGCGAGTGGTGAGTGAGTGAGCGAGTGGTGGGCGAGTGGGTGGTGAGAGTGGGTGGTGAGAGTGAGTGGTGAGAGTGAGTGAGTGGTGAGAGTGAGTGGTGAGCGAGTGGTGAGCGAGTGGTGAGCGAGTGGTGAGCAAGTGGTGAGCAAGTGGTGAGCAAGTGGTGAGTGTATGCGTGAGTGAGTATGAGTGAGTGTATGAGTGAGCGGGTGGTGAGAGGGTGGTGAGCGAGTGGTGAGCGAGTGGTGAGCGAGTGGTGAGCGAGTGGTGAGCGAGTGGTGAGCGAGTGAGTGTATGAGTGAGTCCGGCAAAACAACCCCCTACCTCCTCGCGGTGCCGGATGGGCAATTCTGTCGTGGACAGTGCTGTGGGGGGAGGTCCAATTTTGATTGGCTCCTCCCCTCATGGCATATGTGTCCATCACAGGGGCTAAACAGGGGCTCTGGACGGGTACGAGGGGCTGGTAACCCCTCCACCTTCAATTAATTACCACTAAACCACGAGTTAAACTGAAATATGTAACTAATAAGCTTGTGCCAGAGGCCCCGGGGGGCCAGGCGTCTATGACGTCTCCTGGCCAAACCCCAATTGGCGGAGCCAGGAGAATGAATATCTACCCTCGGGGCTCCTCCAGAAACAACGAAAAGCCACTACGGGTGGCCACGTGGAATGTTCGAACGCTCACTGCGGAGGAGAGGCTGCCACTCCTCTGTCGGGAGCTGGACCGGTACCGCCTGGATCTATGTGGCATTCAGGAGGTCCGGTGGACCGTCTCTGGCTCCTGCCACCATGAGGGGTGGACAGTCCTCTACTCGGGGCAGCAGACTGCCAAACAACAGGGTGTGGCTCTTCTTTTGAACAAAAGAATGAAGGGGGCGTGGGAGCGTGGCGGTGAGGTGTGGGAAGCTGTAAGCCCCAGGCTACTTTGGGCTCGCCTTCCCATCAACCGAAGGCGAGGAATGGTGGTCGTGGTTACTTATGCCCCCACCGAAGATGAACATCCGTGGAGGGATGCAGGCAAAGCCGATGAGTCAGATGCCTTCTATGACCTCCTGTCACAGGTGCTGGCTAAAGTGGCCCCTCGGGATAGAGTCATCATGTTGGGTGACTTCAATGCCCGAGTTGGTCATGATACTGGCACCTGGTCTGGAGTGATTGGAGGGCATGGGCCAGATCAGCTCAATAACAACGGTAGGAGGCTGCTAGATTTTTGTGCAGCCCATGGGCTTGTAATTACCAACACGCTGTTCCGGCATCGGCGCATCCACACAACATCATGGATGCATGCCGGGTCCAAGCAAGAACATCTGCTGGACTTCAGTGACGGACCAGCGGATGAGAGTCCATGTCCTTGACACCAGGACCTACCGTGGAGCTGAACTGCCCTCTGACCATCGCCTAGTCATCTGTAAGATGCGCCTGCCATTCTTCCACTCCAGTGGTGGGTGTACACCCAGGACCCCATTCCAACCTAAAGTGGCCTGGTCTCAGTTATCTGATGAAAGTTGCAAGCGAGAATTTCATCATCGCTTGCAGCTGGGATTGGCATCGTCCCCGACTTCTCCTGATGTCGAGGGTAAATGGGAGAGGTTTAGGACAGCGACTCATGCAGCTGCAATGGCTGTTTTGGGTACGTGGTCCAGACCTCCCCAGAGACCCTGGCTGACAGAGGTGTTCAGGATGGTTGAGAAAAAGCGACAGGCCCACTGTCATCGGCTACAGAATCCCACGTCAGAGAATGAGGAGGCTTACCGCAGCCTTCGCTCGGAGGTTCGGAGAGCCGTGAGGCGCTGGCAAGGATGGGTGGTGGTCGCGGGTTGCTGAGGAGATGGAGTCTGCCTCAGTGGCCCGTGATCACAAATCTCTATTTAACTCCATCAAAAAAGTAACCTGCAGCGCCACACCTATTACCATCATTAGGGGAAAAAACGGTGATCCAATCTCCGACCCCCAGGAACAGGTTTGCAGATTTGCTGAGCATTTCTGTGAGGTCCTGGGGGAGGGAAAATCCCTCAGCCAGGAAAATATCGTGGCACAAAGTGAGGATGGCCCTGCTGAGGCTGCGGTGCCTCAAATATTGGAAGTCACCCCCTATGAGTGGCTGGCTGAGGTGCCATCTGTTCAGGAAGTACTGAGGGCGATCCAGAGTCTGAGACCAGGAAAGGCAGCGGGCAGAGATGATCTCCCAAGCGAAATGCTGAGGGAGGGTGGCGTTTGTGCACAGACTGCCCTATATCACATCATAACAATGGTCTGGACCACTGGACGGGTTCCACAGGATTGGAAGGATGCCCTGGTGGTCCCCCTTTTTAAGAAGGGGGACCGCACAGACTAACAACTACAGGGGCATCTCACTCCTCAGTGTGCCGGGAAGGTCCTGGCAAGGATTATTCAGCATCGCCTTGCCAGGCACGCTGAGGAGAGGCTTGCAGAGCCCCAATGCGGTTTCAGGAAAGGGCGGTCCTGCACAGATGCCATATTTTGTGTCCGTCTGCTACAGCAGAGGTGTAGGGAATTCCAACAAGACCTACATCTCTGCTTTATTGACCTGGTCAAGGCCTATGATACCATCAGTAGGCCTGGGCTCTGGGTTGTTCTTCATGCTTTTGGAGTACCTGACCCTCTGCTCACGATCATTAAGGACCTTCATGATGGTGAGCGGGCCCGGGTAAAACTACGTGGCCGGGAGTCAGAGCCATTCCCTATACACCTTGGGGTGCGACAGGGATGTCCTCTGGCTCCCACATTATTTAACGTATATTTTGACCACGTAGTTCGTGAAGCCTTCAATAGCTGTACCGGGGGAATCTCCATATGGTACAGATATAATGGGAGGCTGATCGATGCCCGGGTGCGGTCAAGGGATGGCTCCCTATTGCTCAACCACGTTATGTATGCTGATGATTTGGTAATAGCTGCTCAATCAGAGGAGGAGTTGGAGACGCTGCTGCTGAGACTGGAGCGTGCCACTAAAAGGTGGGGCCTTACCATCAGCCCCACCAAAACTAAGCACCTGCCTGGGTATTTTGTAACATCGGACACTCCACCCCCACAACTCCCAATCGGTGATGGGGCAGTTGTGGAGAGAGTGGAGAGTTTCCCATACCTGGGCAATGTGCTTATGACTGGCTCCAGTTTAACAGCAGAGGTCTCACTCCGAATCAGTCGAGCGGCAATATCTTTTCATCGGTTGCGTAACGCTGTGTGGAAGCTACCTGGTCTGTCGCTCCGCACTAAGCTTCAGGTCTTCTCGGTCACGGTCATTCCCTCCCTTCTCTACGCTTGCGAAATGTGGACCCCCCTAAATGGAACATCTTCGCCGGTTAGAAACATTTAGGCTGGCCTGCCTACAATCCATCCTGGGTTTAACCAGACTGGATTGTGTGAGCTCACAAATCCTTGAAAGATCTGGGCAAGGTCCCATCGGTGAGCTCCTCCGGCGGGGAAGGCTGCGATGGCTGGGTCATGTAGCCTGCATGTCCAGCCACCGCATGCCGAAACAGCTTTTGTTCGGCCGGATCGAGGGGGCTAAGCGGGCGCGGCACGGGCTAGAGAAGAGATGGAGTGATGTGGTACAGGAGGACGTGGAGCTGAGTGGACTTGCCAATGACCAGTACCAGCGGTGTCAAGATCGGCCTCTGTGAGG